CCAGTTCCTCCTCGCTCGCGCCCCCCGCCGCCGCCACTGCCTGGCGGTCCTCACGCTCCTGCTCCGCCACTACTGCCAGCGCCTGGCGCAGCCGCTCGGGCGCCGCCTCCAGCGGCCGCCGCAGCACACCCAGCACCTGGTCCCGCAGCAGCACGTACAGCGCCTCCACCTTGCTCTGGCGCCTCACCAGTTCCTCCTCGCTCGCGCCCCCCGCCGCCGCCGCTGCCAGCTCTTGCTCCAGCATCAGCAACGGCCGCGCTGCCTCCAGCCGCCCTTGCTCCAGGGCCGCCTTGAGCTCCTCCACTGCAGAGGGGACCCGCGTGAGGCAGGGCCCGGGGCTTCAAGCCAATTGGGGCAAGGGGCGGCTGAGTCCCCAGGGGTAAGGCCAGTGGCCAGACAGGATTCCTCCCCACTCAGGGCCCCAAGACCAGGGGCACAGGTGAAGGAGGAAGATGGACAACTCCCTGCCCGCTCTGTCCTGGGTGAGGGCCCCTTCGTTCCCATGCCCCATCCATGCCCAGGCCTGGACCAGCGCTAGGCAGGCCCCCAGCCCCAGCCGTAGTCCCAACCTACCTGTGGGGATAGGAGGGCCATCCAGCCCTGGCTTGGACTCAGGTACCAGCGGGGGCTCAACCAAGCTGGGCTGACCTCTCTTCTTCTTGCCTTTGGTGAAGATGCTGAACATATTGGACAGTACCGTGGGCTTCTTCTTCTTTGCAGCCTCTTGCTGCTCCTGATCTGGAGCTACCACAGCCTCGGGAGGTGGCACCAAATCCTCAGAGGAGGCCTCTGACATGGAGGCCTCTGACTCACTCTCTGATACGGAGGGCAACTTTTGTGGGCTTCCAGGAAAGTTGAGAGTCCCTAGCACAGACTGCTGGCCAGGAAGGCCTTGGAAGAAGGTCATCATCTTCAGCATCACCCTGGCTCAGTCCTGCAGGTTGCGGGTAGGGGATGAGGGGCCAGTGGTCACAGTGGGCTGGCCCCCAGGCATGAGCATACAGCCCAATGGCAGCACTGAGTGCCTCCTCTGTTCTCACCTGTACAAGAAACAGGGCCCTGGAAACCCCTTGGCCCAGAAAAGCACCCACAAGGCCCCCTCCCTAGCCACAAGAGCTTCAGCTTGCATCTCTCCTAATACCCACAGGCCCTCCCAGAATCGCTGCAGAGGCAGGAAAAGAGGCTGGGGACAACAAGCCTCCCAGATGAAGGGGCTGTTCCTGCATTTTACAGTCCACCCTCTTGGGAAAAATGGATGGCAGCTAGAGAGTACCTCTATGAATCCCACCAGACTCTGGAGAGGGGGCAGGGCACAGGCTGCTGTCCCTTTGGACAGAGCAAAAACACAGGTCAGAATGGCCAGGGCCATGTCAGGGTCAGAGAATACCCAGAAGCCAGCCTGAAGCCAGGCCTCCCCCTATCTAGCCCCAGCTGCTCATTCTTCTTGCCCAGTTCTTATGTGGCTGTGGGGTCACAGAAAGATGCCATGCACAGAAGCACAGTTGGCTGAAGGAGAGCGAATCCTGATTCTGTACATACACTGACCCCAGGGCCCAGGTCTGCAGAAGACATAAGGCCCCTCAAATTTCAGAAGGGAAGCCCCTTCCACAGGGGAAAGGGGCTGATCCAGGCACAGATTTCCCTGAAGTCACACAGCAACTTTGTCTGGAACCCAGGCATCCTGTCTCCTTCCCCACCCTGCCTGCTCCCAAATGGGTTGACATCATCATCAAAAAATTTCCAGTTTCTGTGCCCTTCCTGGGTACACATCCCATCTTTTCCTCTCTCATCCAAAAGCCATGCTATTTAATCTTAAAATAGCCCTGTGGTCAAGCCCTGTGGGTTTGGAACTCAGGTCATCTGTTCCACAGCCTGGCTTTTCCTCTACCTCTGCACCCCCCACTGCCCCGAAAGCTGCACCCAGAGAGGCAGGACCCTCAGCATTGTTAGAGCAAGGCTGGTACCACCAGAGGGATCTATGGTTGACCCTGAGGGCAGGAGCAGAGGCTGGGCCTCCATGGTAACTGTGTAACCCATACACAGTGCCACCTCCTGCCCTACCCTCAAAAATAAATACATTGAGCCATACCTCACATTCATCAGGATGACTCTGGGTAGCCTGCAACAGCAAATAGCCTGATCCACGCTTCTGAAGAAGCCATTGAGGCTACACACGCGAGGGACTTGCCCAAAGCATAGCCTGTGTGGAACACTGGAGCAGTCCTCTCGCCTCAGCCCTCTGCCTTCACCAGCCCAGCTACCCTATTTCCTGAGGGCTTGTCCCACACTTTGGAGCTTGACCAGAGCCATCTGGTTGACCAGGAAGCCTGCGTTCCCCCTTCCCAGCCCCTACCATCCTCACCTACTGCTCTTGGTAGAGTCCCTCAGTCTGGACCTCAGCTGTCCTCCTGGAACCCTATCAGCCTAAGAGTTCCAGAACCAAGCAGAGAGTACTATGGGGGATCCCAAGCCAACCAAACTCCCCAGGCTCAAAGCCACCAGGTATTCTGCCCCTCCTAATCCATCCCATTTTCATGCCAAGCACCCAGAGGAGGTAATCTGACAGGCAGGGCTACTCAGCCCCACCCTGGGGGCCTAGGCACCCCTGCCCTCCTCCTGGGGTAAGGGAGAGGTGACCTGTCCCACATCTTCCAATTGTACACAGCTTCTCACTATTTGGCTCTATGCGACCTCCAAGCTTGGTTCCTGCAAGTCCCCACAGAGTGTCCAGGCCTTTTCTGCTTTATGGCAGAGATCCAGCGGCAGCGCCTGGACCTTGATTCTCAAAGGCAGCTGATGCAGTAGAAAAAGAACTGGCTGTGGGCTCAGCTTCACCTCTCACTGGTGTACGGACGGGACACTCCTCTTTCCAGAAAAACCTTAATTTCTCCAACTGTGCAATGGGGAAGGGACCCTCACACCTCACAGTGCTGCTGAGAGGATGTGGTAAAACCACAAGCCAAGTGCTGGCACTTGGTTTGGCCTGCGTGAAAGTGAGTTTCCTGTGTCCTGTGTGTGTAGTGCCACACCATGCAGCCTAGGAGGGGAGGAGACCTTCTTTACACCAGGCTCCTGGCTGCACCCAGTGAGGCAGAAAGGTGCCTGTTTAAAGGCACATGGTGCCTGTGGTTCAGCAGTGGTACCCGCAATCCCAGACACCATACCCCTTCTTGGGTCAGGGCTGAGGGCCATACAAAGCCTCCCCTGGTCTCTGGCCTGCCTCATTCTGTCCTAGGGTGATAGGACAAGCGGCACACCCACCCCCAGATGAAGATGCCCAGACACAGTCAGGGAGGGTCTTAATCTATAGCCCTGGAGTCCCGTGGGGACACTGGCCTTCAACTGAAAGTGGGAGACTTTGTATCTTTTTCCCCAGTCGCGACCAGTCTTTCCAGGGACCGAGCTCTGGGTCTAGCGCCCCAACTTCAGCCCCAAACCTCTGTGCCCTGGTGCGCAGACGCTCAGCAAGCGCACAGGTCTTGGTGTCCCCAGCCAGAAGCCCTCATAGCGTTCCCGCCCGTGTCCCCTCAGCCACTCCAGGCCATTCCTTGGGGGAATCCTGCTGCGGTCTCGGGGTCAGAGAGAACGGGACGCCGGCGGAGCGGGGAAAGACGCCAGACGGCGGAGGTCACTTACCGTGTCCGGGCCAGGCCGCGGCTGTACTGGCCCGGGCGCCGCGCAGCCTGAAATAGTCGCCGACTCCGCCCCGGCCCCGCCCTCCGCGACCGCGGAAAACCCGCGGGCCGAGGCCAAGACCCCGCGCAGCGAGGGCTCGTCCCTGCGCGGGCCTGGCGAGGGGAGCGAGGGCGGGGTCACTGCTCCAGCAGCCGGGACGGGCTGGCGACGCTGCAGAGCGAGGCGGGGTAAGTGGGGGTCGCGGAACGGCCTCCCGGGGCCCCCGACCCACGGGGCGCCGGTCCATTGTCCGACCACGGCCTCTGATTGGCTGTCTGGGAGGGGCCTGCGCCCAGGGCCGCGCCCCCGCGTCCCAGCCAGTCACAGCCCTGCGTGACCTGCGCCCCCTCTCACCCCAACGCCCAGCCTCGCCAGGTCGCCCCTCTGGGCACCCTGTGGCGAGTAGAGTCGTGGGAGAGGGCTTCCTGGAGGAGGCGCGAAGGGGAGAGGGGCCCGTTCTCCACAAGGCCCCGTGCTGGGAGCGTCTCCTGGCCTCTCATGGTCACGCCTTGCTTTAAGTGATGATGTTCCCTGTCCCCGGAAAGGTGAATACATGAGAGGAAGGAATACATGACAGTAGCAGTCTGATTTCACCTCTAGACCAGCAGGTCACCGACTGAAGCACTTTCCCTTTCTGGGACAAAGACTGGGCCAGGACAGGCTCCTGAGACCAGGCAGGATCAGGAGCACAAGGCCCAGGCAGCAGGCTCAGCTTTGCCCGTTTCAGCGCGGTCTCTGGCAGGCCATACCTCTTTCCGGGTGTCAGTTTCCCAGTCTGCTCCCTGGTTCTCAGGGTGTGTTTGGGGGGAGGGGGAGGTGAGGAGAATGGGTGGGCTGGGATAAAAAGTTGACCCCTGGGCACCTCCCTCCCCTTCCTATTTCACATCCCAGGGAGTCCTGCTCTCTGGGAAAGATCCTGTCATTCAGGAATTTCCTGCTGGGCACCAGCTTCCCTTTTGCTTAGAGTGGAGCTTGGGCTCCTCCCTGCCTTTTGTTGCCCCACCCCCCCACACACCCCCCACACTCCACACCATCCCCATACCTCACCCCACACACCCCACACCCCCCCACACCCACTGCCTGCTAGCCTGGCACTGGTCTTTGAGGGCCAGGAGGGGTGACTAAGTGGGGGAGACTGGTTTTGAAGGTGTCCCTTGGGGCTGAGAACTTTTTCCTCAGGAGTGGTGGCCAAGTGCCAGGTTTGGGCTTGGACTGTCATCCATCTTTCCCTAGGGTATCTCAGAGGTGGGTGCAAGAGGCTGCCAGGAGGAAGCTTTAAGGCAGAGAGAGTCCACCCCCTCTCCCAGAGGCCTCCAGGGATGACATTTTTCAGAGGAGCTCACAGAGCCACAGTGCTCAGGCTGGGGGTCATCCCATCCCCGCTATAGTACACAGATGGGGAGACTAAAGCCAACCAGATAGGGGACAAAGAGGATGAGAACCAAGGGTCCCTGGCCATTGCCTCCCTGCAGCCTGTGGCTCACTCATTGTGCAATCCCCTCGTGACTCACCCGGCCCCCCCTGATCCATCCACCCCTCTTCTAATCCCAAACAGATTGGGAAATTGCTGGGGAACTCTGCAGCTCAGCAGGGAGGGTTTCTCTTCAAGCCATCTGCTCAGAGCCCCTGGTCAGTGTGGACTTCACAGCACAGTCACCAGCCTGTGCTGGCTGCCCACAGTAGCTCACCCAAGCAAGGACTGGAACTGAAACAGAGCCTGCCTGCAGGCCATCCCTAGAATGTGCAACTGCCCCAGATATTTCCCTTTTCTGAATGCAAATCTGGAGGTCAAAGGTCCTGTCCCCAACACAAGGGAAATTTTTCGAAAATGGGGCTCAAGGGAGGGCAGAAGGATGATACCCAGTGGGGCAGGCCCACAGGACAGGAACTATTTTAATCCCTTCTTGACAGTCCCCAAGAGTCCAGGCTCTTCCCGAGGGAGCCAAGGCAGCCAGGATCTCCAGCACCCACCCAACCCCGCGCAGGAAATGAGCATCTTGTACAGGACCATCTGCTGTCTTGGTCCCCACCTCCCCCAGAGAGAACTGGCAAGGACTGGCTAGGGAGCCCAGGATAGAAGTTATAGAAGCCAGCACCTGCATAGAAGCCCAGTGCACTCCTTGCGTGAAACCCAGGGGCTCATTGGACACATGGGGCTTCCCCTCTTTTCCCTCTGCTCAAGTAGCAATTACTGTTAATTTCTAGTACAATATGTATAACATAAAATGTACCATTTAAGTGTACAGTTCAGTGGAATTAAGTACATCGGCACTGTTGTGTGCCTATCACCACTGGCCATACACAGCACTCTCTTCATCTTGCACAACTAGAACTCAGCCAGGTGCAGGGGCACACACCTGTGACCCCAGACACTCAGGAGGCTGAATCAGGAGGATCATGAGTTCGAGGCCAGCTTGGGCAACTTAAGAGAGACAGTCAGCAACTCAGTGAGACCTTATCTCAAAACAAAATAAAAAAGGCCTGAGATGTGGCTCAGTGGCAGAGCACCCTTGGTTTTAATCCCTAGTACAAGACAGAAGTGGAACTCTGTCCCCATTATACAATAACTCCCCATTCCCTTCTCCCCTCAGTCCCTGGCAACCACCATTCTCTGTGGCTTTGACAACTCCACACACCTCATAGAAGTGCAGTGATACCGCACTTGTCCTTCTGTGACAAGTGGGTTTACTTCCATCAGCATCACGTCCTCATGATTCCTCCATGTTGCAGCAGGTGTCAGAATTGCCTTCCCTTTAGAGTCTGAATCGTGGTCCATGGTATGGATGGACTACATTTTGATTCTCCATTCATCCCTCAATGGACGTTTGGGTTGCTGCCACCTTTTGGCTACTGTGAATAGTGACACTGTGAGCATGGGCCCTGCACATTTCTGTTCATGTCCCTGCTTTCAGTTCATCTGGGTATACTAGTTGACGTTGATCCACAGGGGCCAAGCTCTATTCTAAGTGCTTTGCAAGCATAATTGACTTCATCAGACGACTGAACGAAGTGGGTACTGGTGAGGAAACTGAGGCACAGATAGGTCCAGTCGTGTGCCAGTCGGTGATATAGCTGCAATATGCCATACTGCTTCTCCTCCAGTGCTGCTCAATTTCTGAAATGCAGCTTGATTAAATGGGACACAAGCCAGGCGCGGTGGCACACACCTGTAATCCCAGCTACTCGGGAGGTTGAAGCAGGAGGATCAAGCCCAGCCCAGGCAACTTAGCAAGATCTTGTCTCAAAATTAAAAATAATGATAATAGTAATAAAGGCTGGGGATGCAGTTCAGTGATGGAGTGCCTACCTAGCATGTGTGAAAACTGGGTTCCACCCCAGTGGGGAGGGGGAGGGGAATCAGACACAAGGAAGGACTTCCAAGCCTGTGATGCAGAAATAGGAGACATTGTCCTCTACTTCTTTCAGAAAAATCCCAATATTTTTCATTACCTTGTTCAGTCAATTAATTAAACCTCCACCTCTGCCCTGTGGTGCAGGGGGGCTGACCCAGCTCTGGCAGCCTCTGGCGAGAGGACACTACAGGGTGGTGTATTATTTGCCCTCCCTAAATTCATTCTCTGACTCTCTGGAAACGTCGATGGAGGGAAGCTGTCCAGCAGAGGAGGAAGTTGAAGGCAGAACAGACAGCATTCTGAGCTGGGCTTGGTGGCTGCAAAGGCCAGGTGGGCTGATCAGGCAGCTGCTGTAGGAGCTCTTGAGTTGCTGGGCCTGACTCCAGGCAAAGGACTGGCCAGAAGGCTTGGCTGGTAGCCTCAGTCAGGGGAGGGTGCTGGCTGTGGAGTGGGCTGCCCAGAGGAGCAGACCAGGGCATTCACAGATGTCCCCAGTCCTCCCACCGTGGCCAGACCAACTTCCCTCTGTGTGATGACTTGCATTTCCCACGGCTCTTGTCTTGGCTCTCAGGACACAGCCTCTTCCTTTCACTTCTCAGGCCATCCCTAGACCTGGGACCCTTCCTGGCGCCTCTTATTCCCTGGGGGGGGCCCACTCACTAAATGCACTGGGCTGACCTTATATCTTCTGTTGACAGAAGAGGAAACTGAGTCTCAGAGAAGCTAGGTGTACACAAAGCTTGAAGTTTTGAGGCTGGTGTTCCTGCCACCACCCAATTTTCCTAAGAGAGGAAGTGACTTGTTCAGGGTCATTTATAGCTGCACAGGGCTTTGGCTGGAATCTGATGACCTCCCTGGGATCATGGGATGACCAGGACAGCTGACCAGGAGCCACCCTCAGGCATACCCTCCTATCTGAGAGCATTCACCAGAGGAGACACACAGGATAGGTGGTCCTTCCCCCTGGAAGCTGTTCATCCACTTTAGCCCCACTCTCCCAAGAGAAAGCCAGGCCAAGGACTCCTTTTGGAATTTGGCAGAAAAGGAAACTGAGGCCTGAGGAGGCCTGGCCTCTGAGGGGCTCAGTGAGCCCAGCTCTGTAAGACAGAGCCACATGGTAGAAGGCCAGGCCCATGGAGCAATGGGACCCTAACCCCAATGGCCTCCCAAGGGCCTTCTGGAGGTGCCAGCCCTGACAAAACTCATGGGGGTGAGAGATGAGATGGTCCTCCCCAAGCTGGGCTGTCTCGCCCCTAGGTTCCCCCATGCAGTCCCCCATCTTTTCAAAAGGGCTCTGGTAGTGATACAAGATGCCAAGGTCAGCTTCCCTCCCTTCAGCTCCTGGGGCTGCCCAGGGCTGCCTGGGGCTGCCCAGGACCAGCTGCACATGAGCTCTTCCCCCAGCCGATGTGATTTCCAGGAAAACAACCCATGAGCTCAGTTCACTAGGGCGTCCTCCCAATGACACAGGCTCATCACTGGACAGGAGCTCTCCCGGGAATCCCAGCAATTCATGGGGCTGGGCAAAGACGGGAGGGGAGGGAGGCTGTCCCAAACTCCCACACGCTGCAGGGAGGGTTGAAGGAATGGATTAAAAGAGACAGAAATAGCAACCACTGGGCATAAAGGGCACAGCCTTCAGCACCAGGCCCTCCTCCAGAATGTGGTACTTCTGGGTTCAGCAGCTGGGCTGGAATCCTAGCTATACCACATCATCATTGAGCACAGCTGCAGATGGCAGGCACCCCAGAAAGAAGAATAGCTCTTGAAATTTCTCCTTGCCAACATCCAGAGGTCCTATTGTTGGGGATTCTATCCACCTCAGAGCCTTAGGCTCACTGGCTGATTTTACAGGGATCAGGAAGAACTGTCCCATATTCCCACTCCAACCCCCTTCAGGAAAACCAGGTTCTCCAATGGTGCCAGTAACTTCGCTTTTCATATATATTCCTTGGGTAAGAATTGCTTTTACGAAGGTGAAAGGATGGGAAGGAGACTTTCACCTTATGTCTTTGAAGAACGTTTTTGATTTTGATTTATGTAAATGCATTACTATCCAAAACATTATTAAAGGTGAAGAAAAATGAAAACACAGTAATTTTAAAACAGCTAATAAGTGGGTGATCTGTGTGCAGATATATAGAAGGGTGTCCCTGCAAGGAGGAAGGGCCTCTGCAGTGACTAATCCAGGCCTCACAAGACCCAGCAGAAGGGTAGACTGATGGGGAGGTGTGACATGTCCAAGTTTCATTTCCCTTCAAGTGTTTTCGGACAGCAGGAGACCCAAGAGACCAAGCCGCTGGCCAGGGGCTCCTGGCTCCCAGCATAGCCCCTCTACTAGAAAAGGTCGATCCCCAAGACCTAGAGCTCGGTGGAATTGCCCTCGGCAACAGCGTTGTCTATCACAGCAGGCCCTGCCCACCTTCCACAGAGGCTGGTGGAGGAGAGGTCTGTCCCTGTACAGCCTGTCCTCCCCAGGGCCTGGTGATGGATGGTGGGTGGCCCCTGTGGCCTAACTGCCATTCCCAAAGGGAATTTTTGTGGTAGCAAAGGAAGGAAGTGAGACTGGTGAAGCAAGGTAGTCTTGAGGACCCTGCAGCCTCCTGTCCCAACCTGGGCAGTGGTGAGGGGCTCCATAGGGACCCCTGCCCAGCTGCTGAGGGTGCTGCCCCCACATACAGAGGACTTCTGAGGACTGAGGTCAGGAAGGAAGGAGCCAGGTCACCAAGCAAGGAAGGAAGAGGGAGAGGCTGTGGTCACAAGTGACATGCTGACTGCCACCTGAAGCACGCCATGTGTGGATAGTCTCACTCACCCCCGAGCTCCCTCCCTCCTGGGTACTCTCTCCTTTGTTATAGACAAGGAGTCTGAGCCCCAGAGTGAAGGGACCACAGGTTACCAGTGAGGGGAGAGCAGAGCTGAGACTCCATCACAGTCCCCAGACCCCAGCCTCCTAGGCTTTTGCAGTTGGCACACTCAAGCCTGGGCTGAGCCTGAGCCTAGGGACCAGGAGGGGCAGAGGGTCACAGAGGCTACTAGGTTCTAGTCTGAGCTGGTGTGAATGTTCAAGTCCCCTGCTCCCACCATACCCAATGTCCTTGAGCCAGCAGCACACACAGTGTACCAACCTACAGACCTGAGCTCCTGTCCTGTGCATGGAGACGTGGGGTCCCTGCAACTTCTCACTTCTCTCCCAGCCTGGCCTGGCTTGGAGCCCAGAAAACTCAGAATAGGTTTGGTCTCAAGGACCTGGGACTCCATGACGGAGACCAGAGGCAATCCCCAGTGCATGAAGGACTCTAGGAAACGGGTGTCCATGGTGGAAGCCAGGCTGGGCCCTGAAGAGAGACGAGCCATAGGCCACACTGTGGGGAAGTAGGGCCAGGTAGAGGCGGGAGACCAGGGAACAGCTGGCAGAGCCTGGGATTTGAGCTTACAGGCAAAGCGGATGGTCTCAGGCTGTCCTATTCCATGACAGAAGCAAGGAAGCAGGACAAGAGCCTTCTGTCCCAGGGGGCCCAGCCAGACAAGTAGCCAAAAAGTCCAGAAGCAGTTTCTAGAGCCAGCACCCCCACCCTCCTCTCCTCTCTGGACAACAGGATGGCCAAGGGAACACCCTAGACTCTTCTCAAGGCCACATGAGACCTAGAAGGCAAAGGGAATAGGAGGATCCCAAGTAGCCGCCACCTTCTAGGCAGAAAGGCCAGTGGCCAGAGCCCTGGACCTGAACCAGTCTAGGCTCCCCCAACCCACAGATCCAGCCCCACTGACTGCACCCTTGTGGAAACTGCCATCGGCCTCCTGCTTCTAGCTGGGCCTTGAGGAGCTGAGCCCCAGCCCCTGATCACTGCCAGACTCATGAGAGCATGCACATGGATGGCAAGTGGGGATCACTCTGATGTTCTGAACACAGAGGGGCAAACCCCTGACTTCCTATCTCTAGATCTAGAAATCCTCAGGAAGAGGACCCTGAGGTTCTGAGAGGGTCTATGCTTAAATCCGTGCCTGCATTACAAAGCTCTGGTCAGGCAGAACCTGATCATCCCTGGAAGCCTCTTCTGAGTCACCTTCAGGGGCCTCCCCAACTTCATGCTTTGCTTGACACTAAGGGTCCCCCACTCCCACATCCAGGGACCTTTGACTTTTGTAGGCCCTCACCTGGTGGGGCTCCTGGGACATGGGTCAGAGGGAGGCCAGGGGCCTGTCTTTGTGCTGGTTCTTCATCCTCCCCAGCCCTTTTCACAGCTGGAAAAACTGGGCACAGAGAGGGAAAGGAACTTGCCTAGGGACTGCGGTGCCACTCAGTGGTGGATCCTGTACTTAGCATGGGCAAGGGCCTTGGTTCAATCCCCAGCATCAAAACAAACAAACAAAACAGAAAGTTGCCAACTCCTCACCACTGAGAATTAGCAGTCAAGACCAAAGCCTTCCCACATTTCATAGCCTGGGTTGGAAGCCTGGTCAGGCCCTGGAACATCACCTTCAGCCAAAGGCTCAGGCAGGGTCAAGCCAGTTAGGGTCAGGGTCAGAGTCAGGGGCTACAGGAGCTCAGTGAATAGCTTGGGCTTCAAAGGTAGGCTGGGGTAGCAGGACCTCTTTGGGGAGAACCTGGTCAGATAAGGCTTCCTCTCCCACCCCCATGCCCACACTGGCGATTGAACCCAGGAGTGCTCAACCACTGAGCTATACCCCAAGCACTTTTCATTTTATCTTGAGATAGGGGGTTTCATTAAGTTGCTCAGGCAGACCTTGAACTTGCAATCCTCCTGCCTTAGCCTCTCCAGTCGCTGGGATTATAGGAGTGTGCCACTGCACTGGGCCAGATTGCCTATTACCCTCCTCTGAACCCTATCGGCCACTCCCCCAGCAGGACACTGGTGGCTGCTGGGGGTACATGCGGGGTCAGGCAGGGGGAAAAACTGGCCAGTATTCTTCCCTTAGAGCCCTCCATTAGGGCAGATCCTTTCTCACATTCTGAACCCTGGGTTATGCAGACCCAAGACCACTTGCCCCACTGCCAGCCTGTTTCTCTACCAGCTCAGGTACTGCCTGACATCATGAGCACTCACAGTCCCTGCCCCCACCCAGACCTGAAGCCCGGGAACCCCAACATTACCTTACTTCCTCATTCCTGCCCTGCCTGATCCCACCCCACCCTACTCAGGGAGGTCTGGATAGTCCCTTGCCTGGCCTGCTCTGCCTCTGGCTTCAAGCCCTGGTGCATCCATGGGGGAGCAGGGACTGCTTCTGGCAACTGTTCCCAGAGGTGGTCAAAAGCTGAAGGCATTCAGCCCACTTGCCCCAGGTCCCCAGCTGACTCAGACCTTGCTCTGTGTCCCAGTGCAAATATCCCTGGGCACTGCCCCCTGGCTGTCCAGAGAGCAGGAAGGGGCCAGGGCGAGCTGGGAGAGATGCATCCCCCACTCACCTTGTACCTAAGCCCTCGAGAGATAAAAATTCATTGTTGGGACGTTGGCCCACCCTCAGTTACTTGGCCCAACTCCAGCCAGGGTCTAGGTCAGGTTCTGGCTCTGAGCTGTGAGGAGGGGCATCTAAGGTAGCTTGTCTCAGCTTCCTCTTAGCTCTCAGCCTTCCCGGAAAGCCTCAGCTGCTAATGCCAGCAGGTGCTCTGGTAGCCTGGCTCTCAGAGTGCAGGCAAATTCCAGAGAGAAGGGGCACACACAAGGGCGCTCTGCAGCTTCTCCTGGAAGCTCTCCCAATGCTGACACCTGCAGATCATGCCCCCAGATACACACTCAAGAGGCAGCACTCCCCCTAGAGTAACCTGACAACTTTCATTACTGGAAAGTCCCTGCCACATGCAACCCAAATATTTCAAGCCACAAGCCTTGGCCTGTTCCTGTCCCCCAGGAGCCTAGGCCTGCCTAGGATGAGGCAGAACAGTGCCCATCCCCACAGGGCAAGGCCAACTTAGCGAGACAAATGGACCCAGAGTCCCAAAGTCGAGGCCCGTTTTTCCTGTAGCACAGGCAGGCACCTTCCCAGTTCTAGGCCTGCCTCAGTCTCTCTGTTGATATGATAGGTAGCAAAGGGTCACCCACCAAAAGGAGCCTTCCAGCATGGCCCTGAGTGCATGGGTCTAGGTCTCCCACTCCCAACCAGCTTGGCCCTGCCCCCTCAGTAGAGAGGCACCATTTTAATTCACATTTATTTTTAGAATAAATACTCCATTCTGCACTTTCAGACTGGGGTGGTGCTGGTGCTGGATAGTTACCAGAGCAGCTCTCCCTGGTCAGCTGCAGTAAAGAGATCTGCTACTCCAATATTCTCCCCCACAAATGTCTGAAATATCTTCATCTTTGCCTCCTGCTGAGCAGCCAAGCATGGCTGAGGACAAAGATTCCATGACTCTGGGCCTCAGAGTTGGAGGCAGGGCCTAATGACCTAATGACCGCCTGAATCCTAACCTGGAGCTAAGTGCCACGCCCTGACAACCCCCTCAGGCCAGGGAGCCCTGGATGCAAGTGATCAGCTGGATCCTAAAAGTAGACAACTCGATCTCCCCGAAGAGCACACGGTCCTGAGCGGTTCCTGAGCCCACAGCTTCAGTTGCAGCCCTCAGCCGGTCCTGGGCATGCTGCAGGAGGCTCTGGTTCCGACGGCGGCTCAGTCTACGCAGTGCCAGAATGGCCAGTATGTGGCTTTGCCTGCAGAAACACAAGGGTCCTCATTGCAGAGTTGCACCCCTTGACACTCCAACAACCGGGAACTCAGGGAACCCCTGGGCCGGGGAGGAAGCATGAATCACTCAGCATTCCTGAAGCTCATCAGAGAGGCCAGGACTGACCCAGGACAGGAGGAGGGGGCTCCGGAGGGAAGTGGAAGCATGGGACTGGGGGCAGGAGCACCGTACCTGGGCCTGGAGGGGCCAGGAACAGGCGCGCCGGGGAGGGGTCATGCCCACAAGGAAAGGCCCTGCGCAAAGCGAGGGAGTCGGGAGACCAGTCCAAGAAACGGTGCTGGTGGTGAGGGAGGGAGGGGGCGATGGGCTGCAGTGTGGGAGGTAGGGTTCGGGCCAGGAGACCTCGGGTCTGGGAAAGGTGTCCACGCTGCCAGCAGCAAGGAGCGAGGCGCCGTGGAGGCAGAAGACTCCCGCCCAAAGACATCTCGAGTTGCCCCCTCCCACGAGATCACAGTGAGGGGCTCTCAGAACCGCCCCCAGCAGGTAAGGAGGGTGCAGCGAGAAGGGGCTGGAGGGAAACCCCGGATCGATGTAATGTGGCAGTCACTCCAACCGGGAACAGCAGCCATGACCCAGGAACGAGGCTGGGCCAGGGACTTTCAGCAGCCTCCCCATCCTGGAATCTCCAAAGCCACCGAGTGCGCTGAACCGGGATTTCCATAGGCTCCGATGACTCACAGTTCCCCGCCCCCACCCCTGCAGCAAAGCCTTCCTCTTCTGGCCCAACGAAGTCTGGGGCATTCACAGGGGGCTTGTTCCGGGCTGGGGATCGCGGAGGCGGAGGCATGGCCCCCGCCCCTGAGAGTGATCGCGCCCTGAGACTGACCGGAACTCGGGTCGAGAATACACGGAAAGGCTCGTCTTGGTTCCAGGGCCGGGGTCAGAGGCGCCTCCCTGGATGCGGTCCTCACACACATGCGCATGCAGGTCCGCAGGTCCACGCTGGGTTCAAGTTCCACCCTCCGCTGGTTACCAGCCCACCCACTGCCACCTAGACCCGTGTGTGTGTGT